AACACTGCAGAGCGGGGCGTGTCGCGTGGAACCGCCACACCGAATTTCCCTCACTCCCGCCCGCAGTCCCACCACGAAACGCCGTGGCCGATTTACCTTGCCCCAGTCCTGCCCGCTTCCACACCGAATTTCGCTGGGCCCAGCGGGAAGCGTCACGCTGGGCCCTTTGCATTCTTTAAGAGTAGGGATAATGATGAATGGCTGAACCAGAATCAAAGTCCGAATCCCACTTCCACTGCTTGGCGTAACAAGAGGTCCACCAAAGCCATAACCTCCTTCTTCCTCTTCAATCAGGCCGAGGCTATGGCGGACTACTAAGGGCCTGGCTGTGCTGTGCAAAAGACAACGCAAAGCAGCTATGTCCAATGTTGTTCAGGCCATCATGCGTGACTATGCCTTGAAGCCTTCTTGGTGCAGGGCAGGAACTCTTTCCTCTCCTGATTCTCTTTCACTAAGGCGGCCATTTTCTCTTGTTGCTCCTGGGTATAGGGGCTAGTGCTCTTCCCGCTACGAAGGTCAACCATGGTGATCAGTGCACAACCAGGTCAGCGGTTCCAAACCTCACCACGTAGACTCTAACCCCTGACTGACAAACTAAGTGACTCAATCTAAGACTCACAGAATCCGGACAGGGATCCGGCCAACTAGGGTCTCTAGCCTAGACCTACACTATGGCTGTCACTACTAGACCTGTTGCTGATCAGGAGGCATTTAAGGAGATCCCCCGTAACTCCTCAGGAATTATTTAAACGTCACAGACAGGACGACGCGATCAGGAGGTCTCTCAACACTTAGACGGCCTGTTGTGCAGCCCACAGCTCGGATTTCGGGCCTATTGTGCCACACCGAGCAGCCCGCCGGTCAGTTTGGTCCTTGGGAGGGTTAGGCCTCCGGGACAGTCGAGTCGTCAGACACAGTTTTTAGCCCTACTCAGCCCGTGTGGGTTTGGTCAACAAGGCCCTATCCTTCATCCACAGAGTACTATCACCTGGAGAGAAGAGACTCGATGCAGAAAGAAGAGACAGACAGATTGGACTCAGCAAGTACCACAAGGTATGTGCACATCCAAAGGGCGAGGGATAGGCTGAAGGCTTGGCGAGATTTTACCGGCTCCAGCTTGGTCAACTCGTGGTCAACGGTCTTGGTCAACGCCAGTCAACGCTGTATTCAACCCTTCGGTCACCTCCGGTCAACCCCCGGTCAACCCTGGTCAACACCGGTCAACTCTCCCCGGTCGGCTATGGCTGCCGGGTTCTCTTTCCCTCACCAACCTCCCTCTTCTCCTCACCTTCCTCGCCTCCTTTCAGCCTGCTGTCTTCTTTCTTTTTTTTTTTTTTTTTTTTTTTTTTGTTCGTCTCTCCTCCCTCCTCCTCGGCTATGGCTTCCCTCTCTTTCCTTGGTCTCTCCCTCTGTCCGGTCTCTCTCCCTCCATCGTTACTCCATGGTCAAACTCCGCGGCTATGGCCGCTTCCTTCCTCCTCGTGGGACCACACGGCACACTTCACAGGTAAGTGACAACCAAACTTGTATCGCTCCTCTCTCTCTCTCTCTCTCTCTCTCTCTCTCTCTCTCTCTCTCTCTCTCTCTCTC